TGGAGGCCCTTTTACATGTGAAAAAGAGATGCTCAAGAGTTTCCTGGCCATCTCCACAAAGTTTGCACACAGTGTCTATCTTCATCTGCTTAGCAGCTAGATTACTCAATATAGGCAAAGTGTTGTTTAGGCATCTCCATAAGAAATGCTTAAGTTTTCCTTTTACCTTTAGGCTCAAGGTTCTTTTCCTTGCTGCTTTAAGATGCTGCGCACCAGAGCTCTCTTCTGGCAGGTCAAGGGAGTGCCACTTCTTCTCTGCAAGCTTAGCATAAGCAGATGCCACCGTGAACTGCCCATTTTTGCTCCATATCCATCTGACTCTATCTGGCTTTTGAGGATCCAGTCCAGTGATGTTGAGAATAGAATCAGCTTCGTGCCTCTGAAAGATTTCTTCAATAAGTTGTTTGTTCCAACTCCTTCTTGAATCTTCCATAAGATCTATGACTTTCAAATTATCATCTCTGAAGGAGTTGGTGTCAGTAAGCTTGAATCCTGGGATGTCGTTGACCCATGGTTGCCTCCAGATGCTAGTTGACTTCCCATCATGTATATCAATCTTCAAACCACACTGCACCGAATCTTTCACCTTCATCCAGCTTTTCCAAAGCCAAGAGCTCCCTTTGCGTGACCTTAGCTGAGAAGAGATCTTGTTTTGGAAAATACAGCCCTTTGATTATCTTGCTTACCAGAAGATTAGGGTGTGACATGAGCCTCCAGAGTTGCTTGGAAATGAGAGCTTTATTGTACAAATGTAGGTTGTGAAACCCTAAGCCTCCTCTGTCTTTAGGTTGTGTCACATGATCCCATGATTTTCAATGAATAGAATGATTCTTCTTATTTCTAATCTTGCCACCAAAAATTCGAAATAGAGCTGGAGATCTTATGTGTGACAGACTTGGGCAACAAGAAGCAGGAGTATGCATATGTAGGCAATGCATTCAAGACAGCCTTAATGAGCACTTCTTTACCTGCAAAAGAGAGATAATTGTTTTGCCAACATCCAAGCCTTCTATTCACAGCCTCCCGAACAAAAGCAAAAGTGTTATTTTTTGATTTCCCAATGCCAAGTGGGAGTCCCAGATATTTTGAGGAGGACACCAAAGTTAATCCTTGAAGAACCTGACAAATGCCAATTTGGGTATGAAGTGGTATGTTTTTACTAAAGAATACAGAGGATTTAGTGACGTTCACTTTTTGGCCTGTGAGATTTTGATATGACATGAGAATGTTATGCAGGACAGAAGCTTGGGCCAAATCAGCTTTAATAAAGACCAGAGTGTCATTAGCAAAGCATAAATGGGTAAGAAGGGGACAATTCCTCCCTAATTTAATGCCCTGCAAGGAGCCTTTCTCAACCTCAGTATTAATTAAGTGAGTGAGAATTTCAGAAATGAGAACTGTGTCGTCTGAAAAGAGAAAATTACGCTCCATACGATTCTATAACATTAATATTACACTTTTAACAACTGAATAAAACTTTTAGCAAATACACCAAATCTATTAACTTTATCTGCAACCATTTGAGGAATATAGTTGATATAAATATATTATGTGTAATTAAGACGAATTTAATGGGATCAATTCCTTAACTTAATGAGATTTATTCTCTCTTTCTCTCTCTCTCTTCGTATTCTATATTTCTACACTTAATTTTTTCTCTTCCCCTACAGTTGTATTTTTTCTCTTCTTTTTTTTGATCGTTCGATTTCTGAAGTCGGGTCGAGGTTTTTCTGATCGAGTTTTAAAATCGGGTCGTCAAGGCCCGATTCACCATCATCCGACAGAATAGTCAAGGTATTCTGACATGGGACTTTTTTCACACTTCTTGGTTGTGACATGTGTTATATGAACACTCTAATTATTTGATGATTTTTATGTTTTACCATGGTCACTGACACTTGAATATTTGCTTTGGTATTGGAATTTTATTTTTCTAGAATTTATCCGTTCTATATGGTTACAACACAAGAATTATAATTAAAGCAAATTTTGAAAAGAATGGCAGAAATTGACTTATGTGGTATGTTTGTTTTCTTTTTGTCACTAATGTCACTCAGCACAATAATTATAATGAATTTGACTATACTCAGTACATGACAGGATCGCCACGAGATTGGTGTTTTATATATGTTGATGATGGCACCACGAAGAAGAGGTGGATATAGTTCGGGTCCACAACCAAATACCGTGCACAAGCTGAACGTCGTCAAAGCGGGCGGGTCTGCTTCATTTATGGTAGTATATGTTGCGTGTATAGGTTGTATATTTTCACGATAGTATATGTTTCGTGAATAGGTAGGAAGTATATGAGTAGTATATGTTGCGTTTATAGGTAGTATATGTTCACGACAGTATATGTTGCGTGAATAGGCAGGCAGTATATGGGTAG